CATCTTGATTCAGAGTGCTTTTAGTGCTGCTTCCTCCTGAAAGAACATCCTTCTGTAAGCCTTGCTTTTCCTCCTGTAGGCTGGCAGAGGACAGTGGAGCAGCCAATACACAAAACTACCGTTTGTGCATGGCTGAAGACCGTGGTGATTTTATAGCATCCTGGGCATTTCACACCCATGAAGTAGGAATTGGGGCTCTGCACCAGGCGTTTCTTCTTGTGTTTCCTCTTCTCCTCTTCTGGAGAGGGATGAAGGAGATCCTTTGCGAGAGGCATGTTCTCGTGTGTAGGTCGTCACCGCCGGAAAGGGCAAGTTTAAGCTTTTCATTTGTCTGTGAGACAGTCTTGCTCTGTCGCCCAGGCCGGACTGCAGGGGTGCAAAGACGACGCACTGCAACCTCCACCTCAAGCCAGTCTACCACCTCTGCCTCCAGAGTAGCTGGGGTAGGCACGCGCCATCACGCCCAGCTCATTAAATTTTTTAAAGAGAGTCTATGTTGCCCAGGCTGGTCTTGAACTGAGCTCAAGCGATCCACCAGACTCGGCCACCAAAGCGCTGGGATTACAGGCGTGTGCCACCGGGCCAGGTCTGTGGCATCACTTACAGTAAAGAAAACCTGGTAGCAACTTACCCAGCAATGGTTGAATGGTTACACAAATTATTATACTGTCATTAGAATAATCATAATTATGTAGCGATACAGAAACTGTTGGTGATATAATATTGAATAAAAAAGGACATTTCGTATATTAATTGGAAACATGTAAAAGTATGTACACATATGGGAAAACACTTAAAGTCATAATTAGGTGAGGACTGTGGAATTGAGTCCCTTTAAAACATTTTTTCCTGTTTTTCAAGCTTTCTGTAATTTTGATAAAGTTTATTAAAATGAGAGAATTAGACGGTATGAACAGGAGCCCAGCGCCCCGCATGGAGGTGGCGGGGTCCCCTTCGCGCCCCGAGGGGCTGGGCCGGCCTCGGCTGAGGGCTCTGCGGGGGACGCGGCCCCGGGGTCACCACTCGAAAGTCGCGCGCTTCTCGGCGCTGGAAACTTACCCCGGCGTCCCATATTTCCTTGTGCGAAATCTGGGGGCCCCGGGTGCCCCGCCCCACCCAGCGCCTCCCCGACCCCAGCCGCCGCCGCCGCCCCTCCCCCGCGCGCCTCCCTGTCCCCCTCCCCCGCGCGCGCCTCCCGGTCCCCCTCCCCCCCCCGCGCGCCTCCCGGTCCCCCTCCCCCGCGGGGCGCGGCGCGCAGGCGCAGGCGCGGAGGGCGGGCGGGCGCGCGCGGGCGGAATGGGGACTGCAGCTGCGGCGGCGGCGGCGGCGGCGGCGGCGGCGGCCGGGGAGGGGGCGCGCAGCCCGAGCCCCGCCGCCGTGTCGCTCGGCCTGGGCGTGGCCGTGGTGTCGAGCCTGGTGAACGGGTCCACGTTCGTGCTGCAGAAGAAGGGCATCGTGCGCGCCAAGCGGCGAGGTAGGGCGGGCGGGCGTGTGGGGGCGGCGGGGCCGGGTCGCGGCGGGGCGGGGCTGGGGCGCGGGCTGCGCGGGCGGGTGCCCCCCGGGGGTCCTGGCGCTGGGGCCCCCGGAGCGGCCCGGGCATCACAGGTGCGTCCTGAGCGTCCGGCTCTTCTCCGTCCCGGCAGCTGGAGCGGCCTGCGCGGGGCGCGCTTCCCGGCCGACTTTCTCCCTCGCCCCGACCCCGGCCCGGCCCCGGCCTCGCCCCCGCCGCCTCGTCACCCTCGCTGGGGCCGCGGCCCGGGCCGGGAGTCTCCGGCGGACGCGTTCCTGGGGTGCTGGAGCCCTGTGCGCGGCCCGCTCCTGGATGCGCTCGGGAGAGCGAGACCCGGGGTTTCCGCGCCCGCTGGGGCCACGCGGGTGCAGTAGGAGGACCCGGGGAGCCTCAGGGCGCTGCGTTCCCGCGCGGGTGCCGCACGGAGCCCGCTGCGGTTACACTCGCACCAGCTGACTCCGGGACCGTCAGTGTGGATAGCGCGCGGGCCGACCCGGCACCACGCCCGGGCCGCAGCCCAGTGGCCCCGCCGCTCTGGGGCCGAGCCCTGCGGGGCGTCTGTGCTGGGAGGTTCGGGACGGGACGCTGTTGCCAACGCACGATGTGGCCGCCTGTGAACCAGTCCGTTTCCAGAGAGACGGAGAGTCTGTGGCTCTTGGCCGCATTCTCAGACGAAGGCTCTTAAGAGCTCCCTGGGAAGGCTGCGGCCGCCGGGTCACGGGTTGTCAAAAAAAGTAAAGTCATTTCATAGTTGACATTCTGGAACGCAGGTGAAACTTTCCCTGAGCGAGCCAGGCGTGCCTGCAGACCGGAGGTGAAGGGCCCGACAGTCTCAAAGGAAAATATAAAACCATGGGCAGTTTAAGGAATTCATCTTTGAGGTGAAAGCAGTCTTCCCACAAATTTTAATTTAACGGAATTAAATAAAACCAAGCATGATTTCCCAAGGACGTAGATGTGCCTGTCCCTGAGGCACACACACACCACAGCCACGCTTCAGGGAGCACCTGTCCGCGTGCCAGGCCTCAGGACTGGGTGAGATGGTCCACCGCGCGGCCTTGTAGGTAGGACAGCCGCGAAAGCAGCTCACCTCCCCAGTCCACGGCCAGAGCATGAGCATGAGGAAGAGACACAAACCGGAGTAGAAGAACATCTTGCGATACACCTGACCAGTCCTCTCTGAAGGTCATGGAATCTAGAAGCCGGTCACACCAGAAGGAGCCCAAGGACACATGAACACCAAATGTAAGACTTTATGGAAAAACGAAGGAAACCTGAAGATAGGCTTTAGTTAGTTTTCTAAAAAAATTGAGTAAAACTGTGTATTTCATCCCAGCTCGCGTGGTTCAAAGGAATTGGAAAATAAGAAAATAAACAGACAAGCCTTTTAAACAAACATGATAGATGCTGCTTCTTATATCTACATACTATGCTTTTATTTATTAAATTTAATTTTTTTTTTTGAGATGGAGTCTCAGTCTGTCACCCAGGCTGGAGTGCAGTGGTGTGATCTCAGCTCACTGCAACCTCTGCCTCCCAGGTTCAAGCGATTCTCCTGCCTCAGCCTCCCGAGTAGCTGGGATTACAGGCGTCCACCACCACGCCCAGCTAATTTTTGTATATTTGGTGGAGATGGGTTTCACCATGTTGGCCAGTCTGGTCTCGAAACCCAACCTCAGGTAATCCGCCTGCCTCGGCTTCTCGAAGTGCTGGGATTACATACCACCATACCCAACCGTTATTATTATTATTATTATTTTTATTTTTATTATTATTTTTTTTTGAGACGGAGTTTCGCTCTTGTTACCCAGGCTGGAGTGCAATGGCGCGATCTCGGCTCACCGCAACCTCCGCCTCCTGGGTTCAGGCAATTCTCCTGCCTCAGCCTCCTGAGTAGCTGGGACTACAGGCACGCGCCACCATGCCCAGCTGATTTTTTGTATTTTTTGTAGAGATGGAGTTTCACCATGTTGACCAGGATGGTCTCGATCTCTTGACCTCGTGATCCACCCGCCTCGGCCTCCCAAAGTGCTGGGATTACAGGTGTGAGCCACCGCGCCCGGCTGTTATTATTATTTTTAAGCCCCAGATGTTGCATGGTGTTAGGCCTTATTCCTACCACTCTCGACAGTCTCCTGTCCTGGAGGTCATTAGTGCCTCAGTTCTACCTGGTGCGGACCTGAGGTCCTTCCCATCCCTGTGAGCCACCTGTCGGGGTGAGCTGAGAGAGCAGTCCGTGGGGCACAGTCACTTATGGCTGAGAGGCATTGTTCTGGGATTTGGTTAGTAAGTAGGAGAGAAAAGGAGATGAAAACATGTATGGGGGAGTTGAATGCCTCCCGCTAAGGAAGGCGGGGTATGGGGGTGTCTGACACCAGGGAACAGACTCCAGTCCCTGGAGGCACCAAGGTATTGCTGATTCTCCCAGTAGGTGGCAAATCCATAGGGACTGCAGCAACCTCAATTCTCGATTCTTCAGAAGAAAGAATTTGACTGAGGGGCATAAAGTGGAACTTAGGCAAATTTTAGAGCAGGAGTGATTTTTTTTTTTTTTTTTTTTTTGGAGACAGCCTAGCTCTGTTGCCCAGGAGTGCAATGGCACAATCTTGGCTCACTGCAGCCTCCTTCTTCCAGGCTCAAGCAGTTCTCCTGCCTCAGCCTCCCAAGTAGTTGGGATTACAGGCACACACTACCACGTCCAGCTAATTTTTGTATTTTAGTAGAGATGGGGTTTCACTATGTTGGCCAGGCTGGTCTTGAACTCCTGACCTCAGGTGATCCGCCCGCCTTGGCCTCCCAAAGTGGTGGGATTATAGGCATGAGCCACCGCGCCCAGCCAAAAGTTTATTAAAAAGCTTTAGAACAGGAACGAAAGGAAGTAAAGTACACTTGGAAGAGGGCTGAGCAGGCAACTTGAGCAACGAAGTGCCACCATTAATTACATGCTTCCCCAGCAGCCACCCGGTGCCACAGATTCAGGCTAGCTGGGTTACTCGTGGTGGTAGAAGATAGATGTAGTCTTGTTTCACTGTCTGCTTTGAATTGTTGAACAGATACTGATGAAGCTCTTAAAATGCACCAGGCATTACGTAGGTGTTGACAATACAGCAGTTTTAAAATCTGCTTGCCATAAAATCCTTTTCTACATCTGTTACAAGCAGCAGAATTGACCAGTATGAAGTGACAGAAACAGAGGATGAGAGAGGACAGGGGAGACTATACACAAGAACCAGAGAGTGAAGCTCTTGCTTTTATTTTTTTATTTTTTTATTTTTTTTATTTTTTTGAGATGGAGTTTCACTCATGTTACCCAGGCTGGAGTGCAATGGCGCGATCTCGGCTCACCGCAACCTCCGCCTCCTGGGTTCAGACAATTCTCCTGCCTCA